AACCCAACGCGAGACGCCTCTGCAACTCGTGGAATGTTGGCTCTGTCGGCCAACCACGCGAGACAGCTCGGGTAGGCGGGATGCTCTCAATTCTGGCACTTTTGGCTGGTTTGGCGGCCTGGCGGGTTGCCAAAGCCACCGTCAATTCCGAGTCCGTCCCTGTTGGGGGGTTTCTCGTCACAGATGAGACGAGCGGACGGGACTGTTGTTTGACACCTTTCTCGCGCAACCAAGGCGAAGGGCTTGGAGTGCGACGTCGCCCAGCCTCAAGACCGACGGATGTGTTGAGTTCCATTTGTTTCGGGGAAACGACCTTGGCTTCTTCCGGAGCTGCCGCCTTGGCCCCACCTTGAATTTCGCAAACGAGCCTTTTGGAATGCCTCCTGACTCCCGTTCAACCCGCTTGGCTGCATGTAGCTTTCGATGGTGGTTTTCTTCCCCCATCGTCCCATCTTTCTGCCCCACCGCCTTGGCCCAGACGACCGGGAGGAAGAATTGCAGGGGAGCGACGGCGGGGGTTGAGTGAATGAGCGCTCGAGGAATCAGGATCAACACTGGCGAACACGACCGGCCTTTTGCCACGCTCGTCGGTCGGCATCGAACATGTCTCGAACATGGTTTTGGTTAACTAGTTAGTTAGTGTAGCAAGCGAGTTCTGGGTCGCATTCGCAAGAATGACAAGATGGTGTGTTCAACAGCAATGGCTGATCCTTCCCCTCTCGTAAGAAGAAAGCTGACATGCGACAGTCGAGTTGTCTCACCTCCTGTAGGGGCGTCTCCGCTCGGGAGAAGACAGATGGGAAACGCTCTTGACGGCAACCTGCGTCATTTATACGGTATTTTACCTGCCGCGAACACGGGGATGGAGGCTTTGCCGGCTGAAAATCCAGGTTCCTTCGATCCCGAGGAGGGACGGAGGAAACCTTCTCCACTCAATTTCTTGAGCAAACAGGCGGGGTGATCGGTGTGGCCCCGAATTTATTTTATTGAACTCGGCCAACAAAGGCATTCCGGTACTAGGCCGAAGGGTTTCAGGCGACCGGCTGCCGAGGAGATGGAAGCACTTAACGAGTTACGAAAGAGTGTGCGCGTAATGCATTGGTACGCTCACTTCCAAGGTCCTTCGCAGCTGTTTGTTCGGAACGCCGAGAGGGTCGGACAGCAGCAACCGAAATCTGCTGCTCAGCTTACCCCATCACCCCATGCACGGCGCCGCCACACTCGCGGCGTCTTCGTGCCCCTTCTCAAGAGGGCGAGGGGTTCTCGGGGTCTTGGCCGTTTTTAGGCGTTCCCCGCACTGTCCTTGACGAGCAGCGCTTACCCTTTTGGATCGAGGTTTCGAAACTTCCTTCCACACCGTTTGGTCCGCAGCTCCCCAGCCACTGGCTTCGAAGATTGGTGTAGGCTACTATGTAGTTAGAAGAGACTTCCTGGGGCCCAATCTGTTCATCTTCATTGACGTACAAGAAGTGACGTACGGTGACGAAGACCAGCAAGCAAAGGCGCCCGAAACGGCCTTTCCCGACATCGAGCCCGCCGTGTTTCGAAGCCTTTTCCTCAACCCACACCGGATTGGCCAGTCGCTCAGTGCGAATGGGTGGGGGCCACTATGCGCTGGGTTCACCTCGCACTGTACGGCATGAGTTCGATTCTCGGCGTGCACGGAAAACGGAGCGGGTTCCAGGATTCTTGTGCCCTGCATCAGGCTCCTCGGCCGCCGTCGGGATGCTAGTTTGGCGAGAGTGTTGAGTGGCTCACTCACTCCTCACTGAATTTGCGACCTGCAGTAACAGGGCGCCGCGTCAGCCAGGGCGGCGGCGCCGGCGGCGCCTTGCGACCTTGAAGGTTCCGAGCTGCCGCAGCAGCACGTTGAGGCAACTCTGGAACCTTTTCCTTCTCAGGGAGCGAGGCCGCGGCCGGGGCCAAACCCAACGGAGTTTCGTTGGCTGCATCGCCCAAGCAGGATCGGCTCGTTTTTCCTCTTTTCTTTGGTGGCTTTCCTTCCCCTTGACAAGGTTGCTCATGTTAACGATCACTGGACGGGACGCCTCGCCAACCCGCATCGGGATAAGAGGTTGGATAAAAGTCTCAGTGATGAGACGCTTGCAGGAGGTTTTTTTAGGCCCCCTCCCGCCGTCCGCCCCCGTTTCCTGCCGCTAGAAGGGGTGGGTAACGTTTTGTTAATTTCTTGAGGAATGATGGAACGACAGAGGCGTTGGCCGAGGAGGGCCAATCCGCCGACAAAGGAAGCGCACTCGCCGGCTTTTTCGCGGCTAGGTCTCCGGAAGGGGCAGCGGACGCTCGGAATACCTCGTACACTACTGCGAGGCTCATCAGCTTCTGGGTTTGAAAGGAGGATTGAGCCATTCTTCCGCATAAGAGAGACGGCCACAGGTACGAAACGTCCGTATTCGTAGGAATGAGTGGACGGCGCTGGTGGAGAGCAAGGGGGGTACTTTGGAAGCTGGAAAGAGGAAAAGACACGGGCAGCCAATCCAACCACACGATGCAAACTATCACTCTTTCGGCGCACTATGGGATCCAAGGTTCGGAAACAACGCTTTTTTATCTTGTTTCGCCCTTTCGCATCCACATCCACTGAAATGCTCAACACCGTACCATCCCGCAATCTGAAAGTTGCTCCGTTTTACGTTTGAGCAGCGGAGCGACATTGCTCCTCTCTTTTGGCTTCCTGGATCCTTGCCCGGCCATTCCCCGGCCCCTGGTCGGAGAACGACCTTTTGAATTCGTAGTTGCCATCCCTCACTAACACGCCGCCCGCCCATCCCGTTCGTTATTATTATATTTTATTTGATTTCGGCAACGTAACCCGCCGTTCTGGTCCCCGCCCCCTTTGGTTGACTGATTGACTGCTTGATGGGCTGATGGGTACGAATAGCGCGAAGGGGGGGAGAAAAAAAATGGGGGTTCGTGTTTGGCAAGGAAGACCTCCGGCAGGGGGGTTGGGGGCGGCTTGTCGGCGGGCTGCCATCAATTTTTAGGAAACCTCCATCTGACTGGGCAACATGACCAAACAGGTGAACGAAACGAGAGGGACGTGTGTGGTTCACCATTCAGGCAAGTCCTTCAACTTGGTGGTGTGGTGATTGCCCAGAGCAGGGGCCGGCGGTCAGTGCTAGAAAATCACTGTGTTGTAACTCGAGTATTGTGTGTGTGTGTGTGCGTGTGCGCCAAAGCGGGTTTAAGGTTGCCACTTCCATGCCCTTACATACACAAGTACTGTGTAGTGTATGTACTATGGAAGGTCTCCTGGCGTCACCAATATCGGCACCGATTGTTTGATGAGCAAAGTGTTTGGCAATAACGTGATTGGAGGTGCTGACCACAAAGCTTCGGCTGAGTGCTGCGGCGTCTGGAATGCAGGGTTCCACCATCACTGACTTTTTGTGAGTCGGCGAAGGCCACTTTTTCGCCTCGCCCCATTTTCCAGGGAAAATGCCCCGGCATCTTCCTGGGCTTGGTGATGATGCCTTCGACCGAGACGGCACTGGCTGAAGGAGCCAGTGCCACAGAGGGTCGAAAACATGACACGGGAGGGCCACCTGCCCGTTCGACCATGAAGGAAAGATGGCCGAGATCAAAAAGAAAAACGGAGCTAAACCACAAACATGCACAATGAAGGAGGGGCCGCCAGAGCTCGAAGAGGGATCACAAGGAGCCCGCCTGGACCCAGGAGACTTGCCCTGCACACGGTGAGCTAACATGATTGGGCGGAGTGGCTGCATGTGGGGCAGGCTGGTGCGCCTGGTTGGTTTGGTCATCCTGCGCCGGCTGCACGTCCCTCCGCACCTAGGCTCCAGTTGATCCCAGGGAAGGTACGAGAGCTCATCAGGAGAAGGTACCGCCTTCCATTGCAGCAACACGATGGCTGCGGCGGCACGGTGGGTGGGCTCAGTGGATTTCCCCCCACCCTCCTCCCTTCCCCACACCCCTTGCACCGCACCCAGACAACGACATCGACCGGGGACAAAGTAAATTAGCAGCATTTGCGGCGACCAGGACCAAGACGCAGCAACCACACCCCTCCGCAACCGCCTCACATGGATAGGCTTCGCTATGGATGTTTTTACTCTCTGGGGATCTTCCTCCTCGTTCATGACTCCGGCTGCCGCCTCCCCTCTTCCTCCTACTAGCTGTCGACGTCGTCATCACTACCTTCCACTCCCACCCCCATCCCTCCCAACTCTCTTCTGTGACCTCAGCGATCTGATCTCTCCGTGGAGACGACCTCCGTGACCCCTCGTGGCCACCACCTGCTTCCTCCCAGCTAACACGCCAAAACCCACCTCCCTCTTGTTGCGGACCCGGTGACGGGCTGGCCGGCCGAGACCTCGCGAACACGGCATCAACGCTCGCTCTAGGCTTGTACGAGCTCTGAGCCTTTGCTTCGACTACTCCCCTTGGTTGAACAACGACGACGAATACTCCCCTGCCCTCTACCCTCAAGATTCGAGATTCGAGAACGTATCCTGCAACTGCTCGCTCAGAGCACCCACCACCTCATCGTTGTGGTGCTGGCATGGAATCATAAGTTGAACGGGATTACCCCTTGTTCTGCCTCGTCCTCTGGATCGCTAGAACGTTGAGAAATGGGAAGCAAGAGATAGTAGGAGGAGAAACTGTTCTTCCCCCGCCGTCGTCCCGGACACAGGTGGCCTCGCCCCTCGGATTCAAGGAAGCAAATTATTGTTGCAGGCAGGAGCGAGAAACCCTACGCCCAAATAGGTACCACGCCAGCCTCGGGCCATTTTTCAACTTCGCTGTTCAAGTCGAGGAAGGTGCCACCGACGACCGGCAGGCTTCCGCCGAGGCAGTTACGCGCGCTGTTCCACTCTCGAGGATTTCGCTCCTCGAACGACGGCGAAACTTAGCTCAACAAGTCCCATCGACGTCCACTCGCCCTCACCATACCGGCGATCAACACTCGGCGAGACGATACCTTCTCGGACGAATAGCGGACGCTGCCAACGAACAGAACCATGGGCACAGCGTACGAGGTGCCTCCGCACCTCCCATCGTGCGAAAACTACCTTCACCACCCTTCTGCCTATGCCCCACCATTACCACAGCAAGACCGGCGCCGGCCAGCCCTGAACGAACGCCCGGTGCCAAATGAGCAACTCTTCGACCCACTCCCACGATACGCCGCACCCTATTCAAATCAATCGCAGTTGCCAAAACCAGTCTCGACCACAACATCTGCGACGACTCTCACAACAACAAGCTCGTTCCGATCGTCGAATCCTCCATCCTCCTTACCTTCGTCTGTCAGCTCAACTGCCGCGTCGGATTCTACGCATCCTCAGATCAGTTTGCCTTTACCGAAACAACCCACACCGATTTCCACAGCTTCGCCAGCCGAGAGTGCTGCAAGCGCGAAGATGACGCAACATAGCATGAGCATTCCAGAGCGGATAAGCACGAGGGGAGGCACGATCTCGGATTTCATGGCCGAGGTGGTAGCCTTGCAGTGGTTTGAGTCGACCAAGCTCCTGGATAAGGTGGAAAGCATGCCGACGATCCACCGCGGCGCGGCGCTTCAACCTCTTTCCCCAACAGCTATCGCAAGCCAACACCTCAAGAAGTGGCTGTCTGGCGTTTTGACGACAACCCAGGTCACGCAGAACGTGGTGATCCTCGCGCTTCTTTACATTTACCGACTAAAGAAGGCGAACCCCACGGTTAAGGGGCGCCCGGGAAGCGAATATCGGCTATTGACGGTTGCCTTGATGCTCGGAAACAAGTTCCTGGATGATAATACCTACACGAACAAGACCTGGGCGGATGTGTCAGCCATCGGAGTCAATGAAATCCATGTGATGGAGGTCGAATTCCTCAGTAACATGCGATATAGCCTCCTTGTCTCGGCTGAGGAGTGGGAGCAGTGGCTCGACAAGCTGTCCAAGTTTTGGTCGTATCTTGAATTGGTGCAAAAGGCTGCATCCCCGGTCCCGGCTCCTTCTCCGCTTCTGGTTCCTTCGCCGACTTATCGCAATTATGCTTCCCCGCTGCACTCGCCCATCGGGCCCGCGACCCCGGTTGTGCAGTCGGCCTCACAATCGTTCATCCTCCGTTCGCCGAATCTGGCGCCGATGGTTGCCAATAACAATGGTCAGAATTGGCCCGCAGCGTATGTGGCCAGCAACGCCACTTCGCCCTTGGCCGCGAAACCTCAGCCGTATCTACAGCGCAAGCGAAGTTTCCCTGAAGCAGGCGACGCGACCGAACACCCCGCCAAGCGAATGCATCGACTTCCCGCCGGGCCTGCTGCTCTCTCATCTCAGGCGCCGACGCATTATGCTGTGGCTGCCCCTCAGCCCCATCTCGGCCTGCCGCACCCCACTGCGCCTGTGCCTGTTGCCTCGCGACTCACCTCAGGTGTGGTTTCGGATCAGACGCGGCAGCATGTGCCGAGCTTGACGTTAAATACTGCACAAGCGACCGAAGCACCGGTCACGCAGGCCCAGGCCTATGCAGCCTCTGCGTATGCCGCTGCACAGGCTCCTTTGTCGCTCCCGCCTCTGGCGTCCGGGGTCCGGGCTATGTCGATGGTTTTCCCGACCACCACCTATACCCCGCCCCAGTCAATTCCGGCTCCTTCCGGCGCGATGACCCCGACAGCGAGCTTCCCTCCGATGAGCTATGGTACACCCACCAAACGACTATCACCACAAAGCAGCTTGGCAGCCTACCCCGGTTCCTCGCCGCTCGTTGTAGGCAACGGCACTACCAGTGGCCTGCACACTCCGATTTCCAACTCGCCTTCAATCTACCTCCAGCAGCGCAACAGTCCATACAAGCCGGTGAGGCACGTTAACACGTTGCTTTATCCCCCGCCGTCTGCCTTTTTGCAGCAGTACCAGCTGCCGAATCCAGTGCTTCCGAACCAGATGCACTACCAGCCTCTAGGCAAGCGCAACGAGTACCGCACGGGAATTGTTCCGGACTTCCTCGACAGCGATCACCGGATTGCCGGGTACGCACTCCCGGCCAGTTCACAGGCCCGGTCGGCGTATCAGCCCCCGGCTCCTGTTCGATCGGGTGCCCCGTATCTCAGGCAGTATTAAACGCCGACTCTATTTTGTTGAGCGCCTTTCTTTCTATTTTCTTTTCGGTGTTCACATTTTGTACTACTACCACCTTTGTGTAAATATTCGTGTGTTTAGAGGAGAGGAGGCATATGCATATCCCAGGCGTTCCCAGTTGGCTTCTTTGTTTCGTTGACTTTGGGCTTCTTTGGGGACTGGGTTCTGGGTTGGTTGTCTGTATTATGTATGTGTCTAAGGCATGGAGTTTGGTCGGGTCCTCGTACCCAAGAATGGGTGGTTCTGCGATGCATTTAGTACTTGATCCTCGTGGAGAGGAAAGAGATGATCTGGGACAGGTTGCTTTGTTTTGGCGTTGGGGGCTCGGCACAATCGTCTTGGTGATGGATAGCGGTGTGACTCTGCTTTCGCACAGAGAATTGCTTTGCTGTGGCGGTGATAGGCAAAATGAAGTCTTGTCACCCAGCCGTTAAGGCGTCAGAAATTGTTGTTATCCGACCGGAAGGCATGTGATACTTGTGTTCGTCAGGATCTTTCAAGATCGCCCTTGTTGTAGACTGCCGTGTTCCTACCGACCTGTTGTTTATTATTAGGTGGGGGGTTAACTGATGTGAGTGGGGCAGCTTTGTGAGGTGACTGGCACGGGCACCAGATATTGAGTCCATGACGATGAACCACTAGTGTAGCAAAAGAATACCCACACCTCACAGCAAGCCTTGAACGGTTCCTCTTGTCCACTTGATGTGAAGATAGAACATAATATGTACTTGCCTGCCTTAGAGACACCACAGCTTCTTAGTGGAATATATCACGTGCCCAATGAGGTTGCCGTACATGGTCAAAGAAGAAGGGGCTAAGATGGAGAGGGAGAACCAGATCAGGGTTAGAATGGAATAAAATTGTCGTCTAAACATGCTCCTCTTATCATCGTCTCCTCGTACGTGCAAAAGCCGTGATGTCATATCATATCCAACCGTTTCATGCCCAAGCCTAACCTAAGTACATGCAAAATATTCCAAAGATCCTGATATCGTGATGTGAGTCTTTCCAAGACGTATGCATATGTCTCAGCCTGTTAAATGTCGTCACTCATATGTAATCAAACCAACCGCCCGGTAATCACCATAATCCCTCCACGTCCGCATCCCCAGCATCATTCATCATTCATCATCATCCACCTACTCACCACCCTGAACCCCCAAATTTCCCCTCATCCCTTAATCCCTCGCCCTCCGCCTCAAAACCCCCGTCATATCCAACCTCACACTAGGCCGTTCAATCTCCAAACTCCGACTCGGCACCAGCCGACCACCAGGTGTGCGCGGATTAGCGACATTGACACGTCCGCCGCGGTGGAGACGGGTGCGGCCGTCTTGGGTGTATTCGTCGTCGTCTTCATCGTCGGTGTCTGAGGAGGAAGAGGTGGTGGTTGGGGGGTTGAGAAGGAGGGAGAGGATGCTGAAGGGGTCGATGTCTGCGTCTGCGTCGGGGTTGGGGACAGTAGTAGTAGCGGGAGCAGTAGCCGTGGTGGTAGGGCCTGTAGAAGAAGCAGCAGGAGCGGGGACTGTTGGGCTAGGATTTGTGGTGATTGCGTCGGCGATGTGGAGGAATTCCTGGGACAGTGCTACGCTAGGAGAGACCGAGACAGGGACACTCGGGACTTCCGCCTCGGGAGTTGCGTCGGAGTCGTCTGGCCCGATGGTATTGGTGTCGCTGTCTGCATCTCCGTCATCCGCGGCTTCTCTGCTTCCATCTCCATCGACGCCTTCGGCTGCTGCAAGAGGCGGTGGTACATCAAGACCAGGAAATCCCCCGGCAACTTCCACTCCCAGTCCTACACCATCATCAGCGCCTGGAACTCCTCCCCCTCCCTCATACGCGGCCAACCGCGTAAAGTAATCCGCCAGCCCATCCACGCTTGGCGTACCGACAATCATGTCATACTGCGGCGGCGGGGTCTGCAGCGGTAGCTGGGGTGGGGGCTCGTCGGCGTCAAAAGCGGGCGGATTATGGGACGGGTGGCGGATCAAGTGGATTGGCCGCTCTGGCTCGTGGTGATTCTGACTACGAAGTCGGTCGGATTGGGCAGCGCTGACGCTCTCTGGGCGGGCGTTGTTATTGTTATTGCTTGTGGTGGTAGTGTTCGATAAGCTTTGTCCGGTGTTTGTCCTGGACCGCGCACTCGGCCGGTCCAGGTTCAGCCGCCGGCCACTGAAACCGACGATATCCTCCTCAACCATAGTCAGCGGCCGTGAGAGCATCGAGGACGTCGGATCGAGGGGCTGCGCGTCGGGGCAACCGCAGGACACCTGTTCCCGGCGTTCTGGGATAGGCCCATCGCTTCCGCTGTACTGTGGCAGGGCAGTGTTGGTCTGGGTGGCACGGCAGTTGAGCACGGTGAAGGGGCTGTCGATGCTGATTTCGAAGTGCCGGCGGCGTTTGCCTGTCGGGTCGTCTGCATCCGCGCGGGAGATGCGCATTACGATCTGCTCTCATTGATTAGTCATCCAGTCCCTTGGTGTTTTCGCGGAGTCACTTCTCGCGGAGGATAAGTCAAACATACCTTGATCCAATGAAACACATTGACATTCTTCCAACTACAATCCGGATGCAACCGGACGGCCTTATCCCGCGCCATCATCTCGCACGTGGGCAGCTGCACGTTCATCTCGATCTCGGTGCTCCCCCAAAACGACTCGAGTCCTAGATCCAAGTCGCCTAGCAGGTTGTTGCTCGGCTCCGGCAGGGGTTCAAACGGCTGCAACCACGAGGCATCGCGCAGCCTGCGGACAGCGGCCGCCTGCCGTGCTTCCTCCCGCTGCTCGGGCTCAAGCTCCCCGCCGCTGAGCACGCGGAGGTCGCTCATGGCGTACTGCTTGTCCAGCGGCTTGCCGGCGGCCTTTTCTAGCAGCAAGATCTTGCGGCCGGCGTCTTTGCGGGTCACGTGCCGGTCGTTGGTCCAGTACTCGATGTTCTCGGTCGCGTACACCTTGAGTTTGTGGATCTGCACCTTGGCGAGTGGTGTGAGCTTGAAGGCGATGGGGATCCGGCCACCGATGGGGAAGCTCTTGCCGGAAATAATGATGTCGTAGTGCAGCTGATCTTCCCAGTGCCGGCTGATGGAGATGGGCTCGACCGTCTCGAGCGACATCTGATCCGGTAACCGGACGATGGTCACCTCCTTGGATCCGTGCAAGTTGGGTTTGAAGGCACCTGCTCGCTCCACGGTGGTCTCGAGATCCCAGCGCACCGAGCCGAATGGCAACTTGGCCGTTTCAAGCTGGCTGTGGTCGATGGGCAGCTCAAACGAGTACTCGTAGGTTCCCGGGCGAAACACCTTGTATCCCTTGCACTGGACTTGGCTGACATGCGGCGAGTCCCCCTTGCCAAAGCTCCGCGAGTTAACCGACTGTAGCGAAAGGCGCTTGTACTCTTTGGCCGTGAGTGTACTGTTGCTGCGTCCCTTGCCAAGAAGCTGCAGCGAGCTGTTGGAAGGTGTGGATTGCAAACCCGACGCACTACCAATGGCACTGCTGCTGCTGCTGCTAGATTTGTGCGAGTAGGTACATTGGCTGCCGTATTCGGTGTCCCACATACCCTCATGCATGGCGTGGAAAAACACAAGTGACTGGGTGCGCAGTGTGTGTTCCTCGCACAGCTCGGACTTAGCTGGGGGGATCCCCTCGGGCCATTCTGTGCGTGCCTTGCCGACGAGTTTAAGCGTCACCGACTTGATCTTGACGTTCTTGGATACGTTGAGCTGCAGCTTGCCGCGTAGGAGTGCGCTCGTGCTCTGGACGCTGCGACGGGTGTGGTGGTCGTGGTCGAGGCCTGTCAAGAAGACGTTGGGCTCCGCTAGGAGGATCGAACAGCTCACGCCGCTGCCGGATGCTACTGGTTTCTGGACAATTTCGGAGGTGGATGAGCTCATCATGCTCTTGGCGGACCGCATCGATATGACGCTGTTCCGGTTGGCCGACATCACCGACGTCGACTGCGGCCGTGGCCGGGCGATGGGTGTCCCGGTCATCGTGGGAGGTTCTATGGGGGGTTCTGTGGGAGCGGTGGGAGGTTCTATAGGAAGTTCCGCGGGAGGTTCCACGGGAGGTTCAACCGGAGTTTCAACAAGTGGTTCGACGGGAGCCTCAGTCGGAGGTTCAGTCGAAGGTTGAGTCGCAGGTTGAATCGTAGGTTCGGTCACCAATGGCTCCTCCAAGACAAGCGGTTCGGTTGGGGATACCTGTTCAATTCGCGACAGCCTCCGGGCGAAGCTGATGAAGCTGGACGGCCGAGAGCGGGTTCCCGGGGTAGTCGGGATCGGGCTTGGGCTCGGTGATGCGGCGTGACTAGGTGGCGATTTTGCCGGGTGGATGGCGAAGGCGGCGAATATCTTGTCAAACACACGGCTAAGCTTCTCGCTGCTGTTGCCCGAGGAAAGCGACCTCAGAGACCGTCTCCTTTCGCTTTTCTCGCAGCGTTCTTTTTCCTCCCTTCTCCTCTCCTTCTCCTCTTTCTTCCTAGCAGCTGCGTCCTCCTTCTTTTTCCTTCGCTTCTCGCGCTTCGCCGATTTATCGTCCTTGGGCGTGTCTACGGCAACGGAAAGGGGGCGCAGCTCGTGCGGCACGAAGCCGGGAGGGTAGGATACGATGTGGATGGAATGCGGCCGGCGCGGACACGGGCGTATTAACGGAGCCGGGAAGTCTCCGGACGTGGTACCACGGCTGCGCCGAACAGGTCGGTCGGGCGTGTAGTAAACGCTACCGTGGACGGAATGATAATACGGGTCGGGGCGGAGTCGGTCGTGAATGGGACCTGCATGAGCCATAGCGGGCCGGTCAGAAACGAGATAATACGCAATTGGCAGTGGTGAATGTTGTAGCAGTGTGCGTGGCAGAGATCTTTGCAAACGGATCGGGATCTCGTCCCTCGATCAAAAAGGGCAGAACATGAAAATGGGCAAGGATGAGAGAGGACAAATAGCGTCAAAGTGGGCATCAAGGAGGAGGAATGGGAAGTCGGGCGGTCAAACACACAGCATCCGGGCATAAAGGGAGTTGAGACGTCCACTACGTCGTCAACATCGAATAGGCCGAGCGCGGAGGCGGCTTCCGTGAACGACGGGGGAGGAGCAGGCTGGAGCATGTGGCTGGCCGCCGTCTGATGCTGCTGGCGCGAGATGAGTCGCAATGCACCGACGACGGGTTGTGAGGCTGGCGAGGGTATCCATCGATGCGTGTGGCTGCTGGGTGGGCCGGACCCGCGATGATCCAAGTCCAGGGCCATGGCGAACAGGCATGGTGGGGGTTGGGGTTGGCAGCAAAGAGGAGACGATCGACGGGGATGATGGATGTCGTTGAGAACCAGGGAGCCAGGCAAACCGGGGTGCGTTTGGGGGGAGGAGGATAAAGATGAGGCATCAAGCCGCATCACACAACCTTCAACACCATGTCGGGCTGGAAGTGAGGCAAGGCACTGTGTAATGACTGGCTCGCGGAGATGCTGCCGCTGCGTGCGTACAAGTGTTCCGTCCCACGAGACCAGCACAGACAGATGAGAAATGGAGCGTGACAAGGGTGCAGGGGTTGAGGGGATACTCGAGGGGATTGGGACGGCAAACGACTGAGACTGCCAAATCGCAAATCGGCAAGCCAGGGCGGGAGAGCGACGGACTCACCTTGGCTTGAGCGCCTGAATCATATCAGCCCCATTATCGGGATCCACGTATTCCTCTTCGAGTAAGGTTCGCGTTATGGTAGTTGAGTCGTGGATCGAGGACGTTGGTCGGCCGCCTTTGTTTTGTTCGCGTCCCGGTGTTTGGCCCTTGGCTTCACTTCCACTTTGCTTTGTGGCTTGGGGGTTTGAGGGTCGAGGGGGGTCGAGGAGAATCGTGCGAGTTGTCTGAGAGGGTCTCGGGGTCCTAACACAAGACAAAGTGCGCTAAGAGAGCGCGAATGCGGCCAGTGCGATCTTTGTCCCAGGTAGGAATGGCGAAGTATGTATAACTTATCACGCCCACAAAGCAAGACAGCAACTCGCCCAACACTCGATGGCTGGCCCGATGGGCCGTTTTGGTTTTGGCTTTGGTTTTGGCTTTTGCTGTGCCGGATCGTTGCGGCGCAGAAGATCTCGATGCCGTGCCACAGTCTCACTTTTTCTCTCCCGCCTTTGTTCTGCTTTTCCCGATCTCTTCTTCGCTTTGTCTGCGTGTAATCGGAACGCGGAGTGTAGCCTCGACGATCAGGGCCTCGCGCGCGGGATGTGTGGTCTGGACCGAAGATCGTCGAGGTGATGAGCAAGCTTTGGGCGGACGCGGCGTGCCGTTGGTACGGATCGAGCGAACGAGCTTCGTGCGTATGTGCTGAGTGAGGTGGCTGGCCAGGGGACAGACGGAGTTGAAACAAGCCGGGAAAACAATTAAGTCTAACGTTAAAGTAAGACGACAACAGAACCTCACAAGATTGGGCCCAAAACGCAAAGTCATTAACTAATGCACGCAAGCAAGATCGAGAGCGGCAATTTGTTGATCAACCACTGCAGGCGCTCAGCCAGCAGGCGATGATGTCTGCTTGCCCGCGGAAGGCGCCTCCGGTATGCAGCAAGCTGCCAGGACAAGGTGGGGTGGCCAATCAGGTCTCGCCTCATCACAGTTGCTCCACACTTGCGCACCAAGCTGCTGGAAACACGCTTGTCCCGGTCGCATTGCCGTCGCCAGGTCCGAACCTCCGACCTGAATCTTGGGCCCGAGGTTGGAGGCGTGTCAAAAGGGGTATTCCGACAACAATTCACAGAAACCAGTACATAGTACGTGTAAACGACGAAAAGTTTCCATCATCAACATCTCCTACCCCTAGACTGTGCCGCGGCCCAAGCACTGGCCAAGTCCCCGGCGAGACGCCCTCGAGTCTTGAGACCAACCAACTCCAACCAACTTCAAATCAAAAGGCACAGCAAGAGTACGTTAACCTCGAGTAACCTGGCGCGAAAACCGTCCGCGTGCCGCCTTGCCGCGGAATGCTGGCACGCCCAGCAAATCATTTTGCCTTAATTCTAATATCCATGCACTGGAGCATTGGAAACAGTTGAAAAAGCTGTTTTTCGTCCGGTTCTCGGAGTTCAGAAACCAAGAACCGAAAGAGGGCCCAGATTCCCGCGCATAACAACGTCCCCCGTGACATATCCGAACCATCCGCGAATTCTCGCCATTCGGCCCCCGGCATTTGGGCGAGACTTGGGATCACCAAGCCTCGTTCTTTTTTATCTCTTTCCTTCTGAGTTGGCCTTCAAGAACTTCAACGGCGTCAGAAGTTTCTTTCTCAACGAGAGCCGAGCAAAGTTGCCCGCTAGGCCTGGCAAGCCTGGCAAGCTGGCAAACTGCACTTCTGCAGGCCCAAAAAAAAGGTACATGTTGAGTCAACTACGTCATCGGTGGGGCTCGCCGCTGCCCCGCCCCACACCATGAGCCATAGGCAAGAGCTGGATTTCAACCTTGAATTTTTGCTTCAAGGTTTGCACAAATGTTCGGGAACAAGGTTGTCTCGTTGCCACAAGGCAAGGATTTTTTACGTGTTTCCCTGCGGAGAGATTGGGCCCTCTAGGCTCAGTTTTCAGCTTGCACCAATGCTCGTTTGTCCGCCTCAATCAGTTCACTGGTGGTCAAGTGGCCCTACGAAAATGCCCATTGAGATACCCTCACCCCATAATTGCCACATACTTGGCACCTTGCCGCCTAGACTTCTCAGAGTGCCATAATTACAGAACAACGATATTGGATGAGAAGACGAGTGCTACACAGTCTGGGCCGTAATGATACCATTGAACAGCAAATATCCGGCAATGAGTTGTTCATTCCTGTCATCTTCTCTTTCCATGATTCATGCCCTGGCCCCCCAGCGACGATCATACAAGGCCTTCCTGCCGGCCGACCTTAAACATGTGAGGCTCAAATATGTACGTACCTAATGCTAAATTAGCATCACCGGTTGTCCCAACCATCGAGTGTACAGACTATAGAGCAGAAATGTGTATTCCACGTGTGCGTTGGGTTTCCGACCGTGCCTTAGCCTCACCTAGTCAGTCTTCAAATCATATTCTCGGGATGGTCCTCAGCTGTTTTGCCTCACGAGAGCCTTGATGCGTTGTCAGCTTGCCTCGCTGCCCAAACGGCCAGCACGGCTAAACTCTCCCAAGACCCATCCGCCATATACACGTCAATGCCATGGCCACGCAGCGACCCTCGGAAGGGCGGGTTCCGCCTGCGCTGTGCAATAGGCCCCCGTTTCCTTCATCTATCAAGTGGTTAGTGGTACCAAAGAGCCTAATTCGGCTGTTCAGGGTCTGGTCTGTTGAGGGAAGACATGGTACACGAGCTATTGTCGGCTTATTGAGCGTTTCATTCTGAGATGACTTAATAGGGAGGCCTCCGTTTCGACGGAGGTAATCATGGAAACAATCAGACGTCGAGACGAACGGCTGATCGGTGTGTGGGTTGAGATTCTCTAAAGGCAAGGGCCGCGGCTGGAGGATACCGTTCGAGTGTCCCTGCAGTCTGGGGTCGGGATATAACAACGAGGGACGACTGAATGCCCAGTTGAAAAGAGAATACATCTTCGAAAATGCCACTCAAGCGAAAGCTATCGTGTCAAACTGAGCGACAATGCGCAAAGATAGAAGGACATCGGACATAGCGTTGCAGTTACTTCTCATACCCAGGTGTCAGTGAACCGATATAAACGCCCTGTCTATAGGTTTGTCACCAAGCCAGGGCGAGCCTGACAGGGCCTCCGGCCTTTTATCCTTGCCTTCTCAAACGTCTAGTGTCTTTCTTATACAGAAACATCCCACCCCCCGCTGGCATGTTGAACGACGAGCCCCTCTGTAGTGTATTTGTTTGTTTAGTCAACAACTCAACTCGCCACCATATTAGCCCGTTTCAGCCCCCCTTATACCCAGAATGAAAGTCTCCGACCGATATGAATGTTTTAGCCGCATCAAGTGTCTGACTGAGCACCTGCAGGGTCGACGCACAATACAACCGAGATCTCAAGATTCGGGTTTCTAGTTGCTGAAAGGTCGGGCACGCAACAAGAGTGGTGTTGAGGGTCAACAGGGGATGCCGTTTTCTGCCGCGCAGTCACTAGTTAGTGGTCGATGGCCATTGCTGGTTCCTCACACTGGCTTCATTGTTTTTTTCCACAACTCATTCTCGAATGGACCGGAACCTGGATAGCCGCAGACTAGCATCGGCTAGAGGACGTTGTTGGCTCGTCTTCCCATTGCCTTCGAGTTGTGGCGACTTCATTTTCCATCCTGCATCCGGGCAAAATGACCATTTTAGGTGATTACTAATATATTGCAAATAGAAGTTGAGAGTGTGAAACATACGGACGGCCTTAGCCTTAACTCCTCCGTAAACTGCGAATCTCCATGCCAATGCCTAATTAATTGGCTGCCTAGCAAAAAATGTGAACGCAAGCTGCTGAGTAAGTGATTGCATCGACGCTTCCCTCTTTGCTGTGGCGCGGAATAGCAACGAGAGGATGGAACATTAGTTCGACTTCTCATCATTCTTAGCTGTGACGTATGCAGATCGATAATCGCGGACTTGACCCGATTTGGGGGAAGGACCCCGACTTTTTTGCCCGGCTCCTGCAACCAAATCGAAAGCGATGCCGCCCCCCACTGGCCTTTATTGGCTGAACAAGCTGGGAATGTCTGAGAAAAATGGACTGTACGTATCATAGACCATTGGAGAACGCGTGCCCGGTCCACGGGAGGCCCCCAACGGGAGAGTGACGGGCGGGTTGCTCGACGGCGACCCCGCAGGACCGACAAGAAATTCGTGCTGCACTACTGCTGGCTGCTGGTCTTCGGGGAGAGCGAAAGGTGATGGCGGAGTTAACTGGAGCTATCGACATTTAAATGCCGACGGAGCTTCCACGCGGGGTGGGTATGGCTCAGACATAAAAAGCTCATAGCTCTCCATGAGATGTATGCTGGATAAAATACCAAAACAATACTGCAAATTCAAACTCAACCTTTGATCCCCGACCGAACAAACGCACTCACTTACAAGTGTTTATCTGCCCATTGGCACAACGTTGATCACCATGTCTGCTTCGCTTCCCAAGACCTTCAAGAAGGCAGCCTTCACCGAGAAGGGTGGCCGCCTCAGCATTCAGGAGGCCCAGCTGGAGGGACCTGCCAAGGGCGAGGTGCTGGTGAAGGTCGAGGCCTGCGGTGTCTGCCACTCGGACTCCTTTGTGAAGTACAACGCGTACGGCGTTGGTTAGTAAGTTTGAACGTACCTTCTGTCCTTCGTTATTCGGTTGATGACGCTAGAACCCTTGGAAATCTTCATGCTAATCTTGCGCTATAGTCCCTTGACTCCTGGCCATGAGATCATCGGCCGCGTGGCAGCTCTCGGCGAGGGCGTAGATGGGTGGAACGTCGGCGACCGGATTGGTGGGGGCTGGCACGGTGGCCATGATGGTAAGCTTTATTCCAACAACTTGTGGAGGAATGAAGGCATATTGTACACTTACGACCAACTAACTTGTATCAAGGTATCTGCGGGTCGTGCAAGAAGAGCCTCTTTCAGATGTGCAGCAACAAGGCGATCAACGGCGTGACCCGTAACGGCGGGTGTAAGCATCACATTTTTCTAACAAAAAAAGAGAGAGAGAAAAATCTCCCAGGAAGGACACTCTCCGCTGACCCTTCCTAGACGCCGAGTACGTCAACCTCCGGGCCGAATCAGGCGTGCGGATCCCCGAGGGCATCGACGCAGCCGAGTACGCGCCCCAGCTCTGCGCGGGCGTAACCGTCTTCAACTCAATCCGGCAACAAGGCGTCGGCGCCGGTGAGACGGTCGCAATTGAAGGGCTCGGCGGCCTTGGCCACTTGGGCGTGCAGTTCGCCAACAAGTTCGGTTACCACACCGTTGCCATCTCGCGAGGTGCCGACAAGGAGAAGTTTGCGCGCGAGCTTGGTGCGCACGATTACATTGACTCGACGCAAGGCCCTCCGGGGGAGGCGCTGCAGAAGCTGGGAGGTGCCGCGCTGATTGTGACGACGAATCCGCATGGCGATAAGATTCCTGAGTTGTTGGATGGGTTGGGCCCGAAGGGGAAGTTGTTGATTTTGTCTGGTGAGTCTGGCGCCTTCGAGATGGTATTTGTAAATAGGTTGGCTAATGCAAGGCAGTGCATGGTGACATTCCCTTCAACGTGACCAAGTTGGTGAGTTCCCCCTTCATTGCCTATGGTTCAAAGAAAGGGTTTGTTGACAATACAATCCAGGTTGCAAAGGGGTTGTCAATTACTTCATGGCCTTCCGGCCACGCGACTGACAGCGAGGACACCATCCGTTTTGTCCAGCTAGAGAACATTAAATGCATGATTGAAAAGTTTCCGCTGGAGAAGGCCAATGAAGCTTATGGTAAGCGCTTACTATTCCCATGGTTTCGCTTAAATCAGACTCAGATATGGACTAATACCTCGATAGACGCCATGATGGACGGCAAGGTCCGCTTTAGGGCTGTTATCAGCTTTGAGTAAGGGGTTGTTGGGCAGATAGTAGGGTAGCTCGGAAGACGTGTACCAATATACGTTTGGCGAATCTTATCCTAGTTGTTGCATTCTGGTTATCTAGGTCTTATTTCTGTTGAAAGGGTTTGCCGTTCCTAGGATGCCGTTGTTCTCTGGGACTGGAACGAAATATGTAGTCAAATTGGTGAATAAAATTGCAAGAATCGATGGTCCTTAGGCGGCCCAGAGAGATTCGTTGCATTGTATTGCCGCTTATCCCCTCGGCGCGGCGGAGTGCGGGAGGGCGAATTTCACTACTCGACGGATGGTAGAACTGTCATAGCATAGTCTTCAGGAGTGGCAACTGTCAACAGGTTTATGGCTTTCAAGTCTATACTCTCTTTAAATATTCGCAGGGCTATGTCAATGATTACCTGGATCTAGTTTGGTAAACTTCTGATACCCGGCTTCTAAGAAACAACGTTCAACTGGTGTTGTGGTTCGAACATAAACATCGAGGAGAAAGAGCGGACGGTACATACCTATGAAGAATCCGCAAAACTAGGACCGGTGATAGCAAGGCGAATAGACAAGCTACGTTCTTAGGGATACGCAGCTAGGGAAGACATTCATGAAATCGTAGTATAGTTCTTGGTGTCGAACACAACTCAGAAGGACTTATTCTCACATGCCACATGGTGCCAACCAGGTGTAGGAGTTGGGACCTCAAGCTTGACCGCCCACTTAAGAGATACGGGCTCGACCAATTTTAGGAAGTCAGGGCTCATGAGCATGCTTCAATTCAATACAGCGAGGTAGATCAGTGATCCGAGATCCGAACGTCGGCCGGTGTTGGAAACAATGCTCTTCACGAAGTTCAAGACACGCGCCCTGACTATAGGAAAAACTACTCACTAGGTAGCCGACAAGCGCAAAGGTTAGTGGATGGAAGGGTTTGATTTGAAGCCGAAACATGTTTTGGGGAAGGGAGAAAAATGAATCGGCAGAGCGCAGAGCCGTTTTGTGCAAGCGACTCTCAAGACCACTTGCTCTGCCCCTTCAGTGCTTGTGATCAAAACATCTTGGCTCCTTCCTTGCGGCGGATGTGTGGCAGGAAGTCACTCAGACCAATCGCCAAAGCTAAACCGCATCAGGCTGATTGGGCGAGACATATTTTTGACGGCCCTGCTTGACCCTTGCTCGTACCCGTCAGTGGGGCACGCGCATGGCACGGAAGGCGCTGAGTGGCCCGCGCAATGCAAGCAACAGATTTCCTTGGCTGGCGGGCTCCGCCGCTTCTCCTTTTTCCACAGCAACCGATCCCTTTTTGTTCCCCCCAAGCCTCGTTTCCGCCGCACACCAACAACAGCGGAGCAACCAAGCGACCACACCACGGCCGCCTAGGATCATGGCCAGCCAACCCCAAGCTTGAGGACCGATCCAGACGCTCTTGTTGATGCCATACCACTTTCGTTCACCCCACCTTCGCTCGACCATTGAGTATTGTTTTTAAAGAAGAAATTGTCACGACAACACAACGCCGAACACACCTCACCCCGACCCGGCCGGTTGGCGCGCACAAACTGCAACACGAACACCCTCGTATTTTCCCAGTGACCGTTGGCGCTAAGAACGAAGCCGACTCGCGCGAGCTTCCCGACGACCTTCCACAACTCACCAGGACGAACAACGCCCACGAACTCGAGAAAACACCCACCGAACTACCCCAAACACTTGTCGACTGCTCGGTTTGAGGGGCCTTCCTCCTCATCTCGACCATGGGTTTCGGAGACTTTGACAGCATCTGCCGGATGGCACCGCTACCACTATGCTCTTCTATTGGGCCGATAACATCGATTGCAAGCGGCGTGGGGATAGAACCGGATTGCTACGCGCGGAACATTGAGCTAGCAAATACGATCATCTTCCAGGGCGCGGCGAGTGCTATGCACATTATCGCGCTGGTAATGACGGTGGTCATGATTCTACACGTGCGGGGGAAGTTCACAGCAGTCGGTAGGTGACTCTACGAAAGGGAAAGCAAGGAGCGAAGTGAGTAGTGACGGAGACAACTGACAACTTGTGATTCTAGGCCGTAAGGAAATCACGACGTTTTTCTACCTGTACATGCTCCTCACCTTCCTCTCGCTCTGCATCGATGCCGGCGTAATACCACCGGGGTCAGCACCTTACCCTTACTTTGTGGCGGTGCAGGCTGGTCTGGCTTCGGCGATAGTGACGTGCCTGATGATCAACGGCTTCGTCGGGTTCCAGCTGTACGAGGACGGCACACCGCTGTCGCTCTGGATGATGCGCCTCTGCTCGTTCGCCGCTTTCGTCATCTCTTTCCTGGTCGCGCTGGCAACCTTCAAGACATGGGCTGGTCTCGGGCCTACCAACACGGTCGGGTTGTTCGCGGTGTTGTACCTGCTCAACGCCGTCCAGCTCTTCGTCTACATCGTGCTGCAGATTCTCCTGGTCACCCGTACGCTCCACGACCGCTGGCCATTGGGTGATATCGCTTTTGGCGTCCTCTTTTTCGTTGCCGGCCAGGTTATCCTGTACGCCGCCAGCTCGCCTATCTGCAACGCTGTCAGCCACTACCTCGACGGTCTCTTCTTCGCCACGACATGCAACTTGTTGGCGGTGATGATGGTGTACAAGTATTGGGATTCGATCACGAAGGAAGACTTGGAGTTCTCAGTTGGCACGCGTATGAACAATTGGGAGGTTAAGGAGCTGCTGCCCGAGGAGGACCGACGGGCCACTGTCTATCATGACGACCCATACGGCCAGTCGTCTGCTTTTGACAATGCGTACTCACCAACTCCGAACCGCCACTCGAGATATTGAGCGCTCGAAACTTCGACCTTTGTTGGTCTAAGGAAGCGCTCCTTCAGGCCCGGTGATTGGGGGCTGGGACCTGAGCCGTGCCACGGGCCCCCTTTTTTCTTGGCTGGGGATTTGGGGGCCAAGACGCGGGACGACGACAATCCCTCTTTTTTTGTTCTTTGGCATCAGCGTGTTGGTTGCGTTTTATGTTCCTTGCTGGCGTTGCGGGATCGGTTGCGGGTTTCTTAATCGGGAAGGAGGAGGAACGGGTCGAGTGCAAAACCAGTCGACGGCCGCAGCTCTAGGGGCCCAAGGGATGGTAACACTGGGCGGCAGGAAACTTTTGGCATTCATGACAACTTCGGTAATATTTATCGCTTGGACACATTATACTTATCCTTTACGTTGTACACACACCTCACACGCACGCAGCACACACCCACACAGCCGTTAGTCGCTAGTTTAGCTTACCATAATATTTCTATCACAGCAATGTGTTAACTCCCGAGAGGGCGCCAGCGGCGCAGCGATATTGAATTGGGGTACACCGAGGGTCTGCACAGACTAACTTGCCGTTGATTCTTCTGCCGATATGGGACATGTTCTGATCCGACCGGTCAGCCACTCTGTTGGCACAAAATAGTTTCGACCCCTTGGGCCTTGTGTTTATGTGACGAACTAGTTGGGAGTTCCCAATGCCGGGTTTGCGAAACATAGTCCACCCAACAGACTGGGGCGTTTGCTGTCACCTCAGTCAAGCCCGCGCTTAGGAGACCAACAACAATAAAATAACGTGGAACCTGACCACGGCACCTGATGCAATCGGAGGGAACCAACCAGCTAATGCCGAAATTAGCAGCCCTGAGGGTCAAAGGCGAAGCAAAGCCAGAGCGGGATGTCGAAGGCGGCCTCGAAAGTCAAAGGTCAACCTTTTCGAATTTTCCCTCAACTACCTCCTACTTGACGGACTACCTAGTTACACACTCTACATCCCTTTTGAACACCTTTTGAATGTTGGCGATGTATCGCCTCCGACGATCCAATCAACTCCGACTTTTTTTTTTACCCAATAGTTACGGAATTTTGCCGGGATTGGGTTTGATTTCTTGCGCGACCATCGGCACCATCCCACACCCACCTCGCAGCCCCTCCTAACTATTCCCCTATCAGGACCGAGCTATTGGCCAAAGAATCCACGGGGCAGCACGCACCACGCCCAACTAGGTCGCCCAAGTCGTCTCCAAAATCTTTTTATTCGGTTTGAAGGCGGACTTCTGCCGAATATCAGCCCGATACCCGCTGATCTAGAGCATGGTGGACTTCTTCCCCGTCAACTGTGCTTCATTGCTTTCCTCAACATTCACAGACCACGCCAGCCACACACAGGCACCTACACCCATCCCCACACCCACACGGACTACGCATACCCGGAGTGTATGAGTTTGTGATCGGGGACAGGGATCGCATTTCCGACGCAGAGTTGGCATCTGAGCACAAACTCGGCGCAGCTTGGCTGGGTCGTCACAACAAACCCTTTGATCTACCATTTATTTCCAGTTTTGGATGACAACGAGAACCTGAAGGAGTGCTAGAGATATTGGTCAACATAGCCGAGAGCCCAAGCGACGGGGGTGGGTCATTTGAGCAATTACATTTGCCACGGGCTCCCAGCGAAGTTTCACGTTTGCAAATCCCGAGATCATAGCTGAAACAGCATCGTTGGGTACCTACCTAGCCAAGCTAGGTAGACTACACCTGCCAGGTGGGTAATGTCTTCACTTTTTCTTCTTGTTTGGCATTCCCGCTCTCATTTTCGTTGTCATCCCTTGTTTCCCGATCTCCCGACCTCCCCAAAAGATTCGACCGGGCCGAGTGGACGGGACGACGGGTCCCTTGACTAATTAGCGGTCTGTCTGACTCTGCTGGATGCTGATCACTCGAGACATAGCGGAGGGGCCAATTCAACCGAAGAAAACAAAAACACACATAAAAATCAACCCGAGGACGTGTTCCAAGTGCGACAAATACGAACGCTACGTTATTTAGGTCAGCCATTATCTTGCCACCGATAGATGGCACTTGTGCAACGCGCGTTCTTCGAGGCAACCGGTGACCGGTTCTATTGAATTCCACAATTTCCTGGGTTATTCCGGCGACCATCGCGACACCACGTGTACACTTCACACCACTACGCAAGTCGGCAGGTCCTGCAGCGAGCCCAAGACGCCATCGCTGCCTTGAAACGCAACACTAGTGCTGCCGGTAGCCGGATTCCGTTTCTGTTGAGCGATCGATCACTCAGCCGCACGGCGCACGCAGATACAACAAAAGGTAGGTACCTACCTACCTAGGTAATTACCCTTCCTACATACCTAGTTGAGCAGGGGAGCTCGTCAGACTCATCCGACCCCTCTTAGTCACTCCGTCACATTTGCACTAATCAAATTTTTTTTATTCCAGTCCTTTCGATCCGTGTGCGCTCGCTGGCCGGGCCCAGACTTGCGCCAGACAAAAAGCCACGCGTGGGATTTTTCTGATCTGTAATTGCCGCAAGATTCCGTCCGTTGATTCCATTCGTCTGAATTGGGTTACAACTTGGGCACGCGTGGGTCACTCTTTTCAACTTCTATTTCGCTCTGGACTTCCATTCTTTGTTCTGGGACGCGCTTTCCTTTCCCCTAGAGTTCCTCTACACTACCTACCTCATCACTGATTCCACCGTATGGTGTTTTTGGTTGGATTGATGGTTTCTCTTTTCGCGCCCTAATTAGCAAAGCTAATTTCCGACCGCGACCAACTAGGTTCTTGGGTGTAGGTCGCTATTTTCTTGGCCCAACCAAGGACCAAAGATCCCCGATTTCCCTTACTTTTTTCAAGTGGACCGACCATCCTTCCCGTGGCCTCTTTTTTTTTGGGTTTGGCCCTATAACCACAACACGCTAACTTGTGGGTTGGGTTATCAGCAGGCCAACTCCTTTTATTCCCGATATCAAGAACCGGGAATCTCGGTAACCCCAATTATTCGGTTGACACCGGTTTTGACACCTCACTCGCGGCTTACGGCCTTACATGTCAGCGCGGACCAAAGGGCTTTCCTGGCTAGCTAGGTTCATCAGAATCCGCCGGCCGTAACGTTAACGTCATTCGACACCCATCTCATTTCATCTCGCTTCGGTCGCGTATAGCCCTTTTTATCGGATCCTTTCTTCATTTCATCGCATCAAAATACACGAATCTTGTCGTTTTCAACGCCGTCGTCGCCATCACAATGGCGCCATCATCAGACAAATATCGGAC